TACGGAGAGTACCACAGACACACGTTTAAGCCTCAGTAGGGATATCATTGTTTTGTTCATTGAAAAGTGAAATGCAAAGTAGTTTGAAAATGTTTGCAATTAAGAGCTTTAATTTGAGGACGTGAACGCAGCAGCACAGCTCTCCAGTGCAGTTTAATTAAAATATCACACAAAGCAGAGCAGCGTACACACTCAAAAGCCTTCAGAACAAGATAACTGTGTGCCAATAAGTTAGTTTGCAGAGGGAGAGAGATCAGTCAAAGTTGTAAACATTGAATCCCCCATCGTGTGTGTTTGTTTGTTGTTTGGTGGGTCGGTGGATATCTGGTCTACCTGTGATGTGTCCAGGAAAACGCTCGTTCTGAACTTCCCTCGCCGTATCTCCATTTCAAGGGCAGAGCCGCGGGCAACGGTTGCTCTTGCTGTTTGATTTCGGCAAAACATCGTCTCCGCTTTCTGCCAACTTCACAGATAGTCCTGTGCAGCCCGTGTTATCAAGCTGTATTAGCCGGACTTAAAGCGAGCGCAAACTGGGGAGGAATCGCTTAAAAAAAAAAAAAACAGCCCAAACAGCCCGGGCGCAGATCCAGGTGGCACAAAACGGCCCCACCTGAGGAAAAACAAACTCCCAAGAGATTAATAACACAAGCGCCCAAATCAAACACTGACGTTTCTTCTGATGTAGGCCCCGAGACTGAACAACGGATTCACGGAGCCTGTCTTTCACAGCTGACTTTTAACTTTCCCAAACACTGCCCCTTGTGCGCGCAGCAGTGAGTGACACGGTGACACCCCATGCGGTAGAGCTGGGACCTCACTTTGCCCTGTCCTGTATCCGGAGACCCCTACTGGCGAAGAATGCCGTGTAGAGATTTACTATAGCGACAGTATGTCTGTGGTAGGCCTGTTTATGAAAGTCATTCAGTAGATGGACAAAGCATGACACTACACCACCAATCATGTTTTACTAACATGTGTAGCCTTAATAGGGCCTTCTCACAGCAGTCATTCTGACGTGTCATTGCAGAGTTAACACAGGTGTAATTAATGACATTAATTATAGCCTTGTTTCATTTAGGTTGGCCAGGGCCCTGGTATTATGCATGCTGGCTCACTGGATTGACTGTGACACATATAGATTTGGACCACAATTAACGTTATTAATTGCACCCGCGTTTACCCTGCGATGAAATGGCTGCTGTGGAAAGGGTCTATTATTTAATGCTGCCATATAACTTTAAAAATATACAAAATCCAAAAAGCATTCATCGAAATTACTACCACTTTTTAAGGAATGTACTCTGACTTTGACCTATAGTTCCATATTATTATTTCCACTTATAAACATTTTAGGCTGTTTTTAAAATGTGTTTTCCGGTTTAAACCCCTGACACTCAAATGTATTTAAATTTAAATGATTAAAGTTCCTCAGAATTCAATGTGAGAACATTACTCCACACAGTGTAGGACTATACTTAATTTCAGTTGTAAATCCCTCTTCTACTGACAAATTTGTCTACTATGGTTTAAATGGGCTAAATGTATACATGGAAAGGTACTTTACAAATAAGTTATTGTAGTGCAGATGACATTTTTAGAGCTGTACCACTCCATTGAATACATATGGATGATGTTTGGCCAAGTAATGTGCCATTTAATGATGAATCTACCAGTGAGTGCAGGTGGATTGATGAGGTTATTATGACTTCTATAGCCTATCACATAAAGAACATGCCATAAAACAAATACCTTGACCTGTCAAAGGACCAGACACTTTTAATATGTTTCAGGGGATATTTTTTTGCTACTCTTTGGCCTTTGAGAATCCCCATGTCCTTAATACTAATAACACAGCTTATTACGGGGCTGTAAAGTGTGGGGGTGGGGGGGGGGTATGCGCTTTGCTTTCATGATATAACATTTTATTAACGAGCATCTGTAACAGAGCATGAATGTGAATCATGCTCTGTGGCTGCACCAGGACTTTACTGGACCTGCTGTGAGTGGAATTCTGAAAGGTCAGAAGGTCATAAAGCTTCAGTCTCTCCGAGGCAGAGGTTACATCCACATAGAGTGTGACAAGGGTTTGCTGGGAAGTCCCAGCCTCGTGACACAAGGTGAGACCAGAAACTATTTAAATAAAGTGTGATAAAAGAGAGAGGAATCAGAAGCTACACAAAAGCCAATCATCTATTAAACCCATAAGAACCCACAGTGACAGTTGTTACAGACACTTTAAATATCCTGGAAAACACATTTAATGTTGATAGTGCTTTGATAACATGTCCTACATTACATCTGAACTATTTTAATCATATTTCTCAAACAAATATATATAAAAAAACTTGAAAACTATGAGAATATTGTTGTGATAGGTATGTCACATATCAACAATAAGACAAATAGTAATGAGCTGCTGAATTGATTTAGCTAATAATGTCAAATTGATAAGATTATTAGTCAAATGTATTATGAAAGAATTTTTGCATATTGGTAAAAAAAGCAAAAAAAAAAGGCTTCATTTTCAAATGAGGAATACATTTATACTTAAACACACATTGTGACATGTAACATTTCAGATCTTTGGCTTATGGTAGTAATTAGAAAATATTTTCAGAAATTTGTTCCATGTGGTCCATTTGTCTGTTTTAGATCCCCTATCATTTTCCTTTCAGGAAAAATGGGTTTGGGTTGTTGTGGGTTAAAAAGCCTTTAGTGATGCAAGGCTAAAAAATCAATGAAATAAAATAAAGGCTACATCAGGGTATGTGTAATTGCGAGCCATTGTTCACTCTGGTTTTCCTATTTACAACACAACTGCTTTAATTAACACTGGGTAGGCATTTAACTCTTCAAACCCATTGTCTAGCATTATGGTGTCGTGTTGTGATGGTGAGCATTCTTTGTGAATTTTTGTTCTCAGTCATAAATAGCCTTAATACAGAAATCTGTTTTCCGTCAGACAATTACAAAATCTTGTTTGTTTTTTTCGGAACAGATGTATAAATAGTGTTGCATTTCCCATATTTCAACCAATTTGGTGCACTATGCTCACTCTATCTTAAACATATGATTGTAGTTCTGCAATGAGGGTTTGGTACTCGGTCATATGGAAAAAGGGAATGGGGCTTGTGTAGCCCGTTTCTCTAATCTCCCCCCAAGTCTCTTATTTAAAAGCAGGATGTTTGTTGATGCTGGAGTGTGAGTAAATAGCTGAAGGCGCTGAAACTCATGCAACAATGTGATCCCGCTTGGATGTCTGTCTGTTTCCTAGAAGGGACTATGTGAAATGCAGATTATGTTTACACACCTCATGCCACTCTGGACAGTAGGGGGTAGACAGTCACAGAGGGGAGCAGTGCTTTCCCAAGCTAGGTCTGACCCCCTTTTAACTCCTCGTTGGGCTCCATCGAGCCCTTTGGGCAGCTCAGTTTGCTGCAGAGTCAGGCAAGCATGGGGCTTATGTGCAGGCTTTGCCGTGGCAGATTTTAAATCCATCTGTTGGGAAAAGATAGGTCTGGTTTATCACACCTCGTTTATAGTGCATATTCTATTTGTAAATCCCACAAACTACATTTTCTCCCGTTACTGTCCCTCTTTTCTATCTTTTGCCCACACAAATGCACACAAAACAAAACTGACTGCTACAGTGAGAATCAAATACAGCAGTCAACACGGGCACAGTCACAGTGGGCTATAAAGTGCCGAACACAGTCAGTACACAAACAAAGGGGCCGCTCTTTACTCAGAGAGAAATGGCTGTGGAGCAGCTGGAAGATCACATGATGCAAAAAAACAGGAGACAATCATGCTGTTACACGATGGTATCACAAAATCCTATTGTTTCTCTCTCTGCCTCACATACTCATACAGTGTATGATCAATTGCCCACCAGTTTAGAACCAGAGGAGTGGGTGTATACAGGCAGCAAATCACCAATATAGGAAATACGGGAAATCTATTCGGTTTCCTTTTCATGGAATGAAAGCGCTACAGGCTCAGCAGCATGATTGTGGCTGATCCCACTGTAATTACATGTGGTTTTCTATATTCTAAATATATACACATACCGTAACTATTACCCTACATCCTCTACTGTTCTTACATTATTAAACTTGAAGAATTCCAGGATCAGTTTTCAGGACTACTCGGGAAATAAACAGGTGTGCAAACCCAAAGTTATCAAGACAGTAATCAACCTCATGTTCTCATTCCAACCAAGCATACCATATGAAAACCATACAACATTGGTGTATCTACTCCAATGGTATGAAAACACCCCAATGTTTTCTCTGACCGGTAAACACCCTTTTATCTTTATTTAAAGCTTGCGAGTGAGCTTGTCAAGTGTAAAGGATGTTAAGGCGAAATATATTTCAGTGATCTTAATGTTTCAATGACTAAGGATCCAATTTTTTTAATCTGCACAACAATGTGTCACACTGTCTGTAGTTGCAACCATGACTATTATCCCTCTGAATATGCACCCATCTTATGTTAAAAAAAACTACATTATGATGGATGCAATCCTATATTGGGCAGTGGACAAGGGAACAAAAAAAAGAGCATATACTGGAACGACTCTCTGCGTGGAAAGCACAAGAGGGAGTAAAGCAGGACTTAAGTCTGGCTTGCGATCACATTCTTAGCATGCCAACAGACACAAACGTAGTGTGTTTTGGCAGTGGTTCTGCACAGGTTTAAACACCTAACCGTTATGTGTTAATGCCACATTTTCCTAAAACATGAATACATTATACTAGTCTGACTTCTGCTGGACATTGCTTGCCATTACACTTACACATCATTGAGCCTGTGACATACATATTTGGATAATCATTCCCTCTTTTTCTAATTAGAAAAACAAATGAGAAAAATATATTCATAATGAGTGAAAAAAGCTGGCTATAATTACACACATTTGCTGCCCGATAGAGTTTTATTTCACAACAGTGCGTCTATGCTACAGTGCAATAAAAACAAAATAGCAAGCTACCAACTGTGCTCCGATAGCCTTTATTTAATCTATTTACAAAGAATACAAAACTCTCCTCCTTGAGCTTCGATGAACTCAGCATGTACACTTAGTTAATGATATTTCATTGAAACAAGAAAAACACACATCAGGAAGGATGGCTGCTGCACTAGGAGACACCTTGAGAAACTGAAACTATGAAATGTTGAGTTGATCATTTCATTTGTGGTGCAGTTTCGTCCAATTGGCAGCTTCTTTGCGTCCTTGTTTCAACCCCTGTAAAGAGAAGATGTTAATATAGCTTTCCTTTTAAAATCAAGGACTCCCACGTATGATGCAGCAGGAGGCATTTGATGAAAAGGCTCTTCTAGCCAAGAACAGCAAAAATTGAGTAATTTAAGAGTCCAAATTACCATACACACCCACTGCTTTTCACTACATAATGCAAGAGACTGAACTTGTAAATACAAGCTGTAAATCCCTTTTATAGCCTTAATGAATCAGTCAGCTTCTGTGTACATACCAAGTAGTATCCCGTGTGATATCCACTCATGTACCAGGAGATGAGCACGCTGCCCAAAGCCTCGTCATCCACCATGTCAGGGCTCATAGGCGGAGGTGGAGGGATCATCTGAGGCAGAGAGAGTGGGATCACAATGCAGATGCTGCAAGCTGATAATATATGTTGTGTATCAATAACACGCCAAATTGACTGGCGTTTCTCAATTTACCAGCTGAGTGAGTAAATGTGTGCTTTTAACATCTTGATTGCATACCCAATAGCTAAAATAAAACAGTATTTGCTGCAGCTTTTGCATTTCTAATTAGTGTACAGGAATATTTTCCAACTCACTGGTGGACCAAAAGGCATCATGGGAGGCCAGGGAGGAGGTACAGGCCCGTGAGCACCAGATCGTCTGCTTCCTCCCTGGTAGAACAAAACAAAAAGGAGTTGAAAACAACACACTGTGAAACTCATTTTGTTTAAATGGGAGGTTAATGGCTTAAACATCCCTCTCTTCAGTGAACTATACCCGACATTAAATAAGTGCAGTCTGAGGCTCATTCCGTTCTTGTAATAAAAAAAAAAATAAATACATTTTTTTTTTTTAAATATACATACATACATACAGTTGTGTGAAAAAGTGTTTGCCCCCTTCCTGATTTCTTATTTTTTTGCATGTTTGTCACACTTAAATGTTTCAGATCATCAAACAAATTTAAATATTAGACAAAGATAACACAAAATGCAGTTTTTAAATGAAGGTTTTTATTATTAAGGGGGAGAAAAAAAATAAAAAAAAAAAAAAAAATTTATATACATACACATATATACACATATATACACACACACACACACACACACAGAAAGTATTCAGACCCCTTTAAATGTTTCACTCTTTGTTTCATTGCAGCCATTTGCTAAAATCAAAAAAGTTCATTTTATTTCTCATTATTGTACACTCAGCACCCCAGAAAAAACAAATGTAGAAATTTCTGCAAATTGATTAAAAAAGAAAAACTGAAATATCACATGGTCATAAGTATTCAGTGAAGTATTCAGTATGGAGTAGAAGCACCCTTTTGAGCTAGTACAGCCATGAGTCTTCTTGGGAATGATGCAACAAGTTTTTCACACCTGGATTTGGGGATCCTCTGCCATTCTTCCTTGCAGATCCTCTCTAGTTCCGTCAGGTTGGATGGTGAACGTTGGTGGACAGCCATTTTCAGGTCTCTCCAGAGATGCTCAATTGGGTTTAGGTCAGGGCTCTGGCTGGGCCAGTCAAGAATGGTCACAGAGTTGTTCCAAAGCCACTCCTTTGTTATTTTAGCTGTGTGCTTAGGGTCATTGTCTTGTTGGAAGGTGAACCTTCGGCCCAGTCTGAGGTCCAGAGCACTCTGGAAGAGGTTTTCTTCCAGGATATCTCTGTACTTGGCCGCATTCATCTTTCCTTCAATTGCAACCAGTCGTCCTGTCCCTGCAGCTGAAAAACACCCCCATAGCATGATGCTGCCACCACCATGTTTCACTGTTGGGATTGTATTGGGCAGGTGATGAGCAGTGCCTGGTTTTCTCCACACATACCGCTTAGAATTAACGCCAAAAAGTTCAATCTTGGTCTCATCAGACCAGAGAATCTTATTTCTCATAGTCTGGGAGTCCTTCGTGTGTTTTGGCAAACTCTATGCGGGCTTTCATATGTCTTGCACTGAGGAGAGGCTTCCGTCGGGCCACTCTGCCATAAAGCCCCGACTGGTGGAGGGCTGCAGTGATAGTTGACTTTGTGGAACTTTCTCCCATCTCCCTACTTTGAGGAACCTTGAGTGCTGCAGAAATTCTTTTGTAACCTTGGCCAGATCTGTGCCTTGCCACAATTCTGTCTCTGAGCTCCTTGGGCAGTTCCTTCGACCTCATGATTCTCATTTGCTCCGACATGCACTGTGGGCTGTAAGGTCTTATATAGACAGGTGTGTGCCTTTCCTAATCAAGTCCAATCAGTTTAATTAAACACAGCTGGACTCCAATGAAGGAGTAGAACCATCTCAAGGAGGATCAGAAGAAATGGACAGCATGTGAGTTAAATATGAGTGTCACAGCAAAGGGTCTGAATACTTATGACCATGTGATATTTCAGTTTTTCTTTTTTAATAAATTTGCAAAAATTTCTACATTTCTGTTTTTTTCTGTCAAGATGGGGTGCTGAGTGTACATTAATGAGAAATAAAATGAACTTTTTTGATTTTAGCAAATGGCTGCAATGAAACAAAGAGTGAAAAAATTTAAAGGGGTCTGAATACTTTACGTACCCACTGTATGTATATATATATATAGATAGATAGATAGATAGATAGATAGATAGATAGATAGATAGATAGATAGATAGATAGATAGATAGATAGATAGATAGATAGATAGATAG